TCAACCTAAGGGGAACCATATTGTACTGTACACTTATCAAGCTAAAACTAAGGGTGTTTCTAAGAACAGTGGTGATATTGTGTCATGGAAACTATGTAAATTAAATTGCTTTATGATAACTAAGAATTAAAAAAAACTATTATCATACCATCAAAAAAAACAAAAAAATGAAAACTATGGTTGTAACGATCCATTAAGTAATATTTGCAACAAAAGTATGATTGTTACATTGTTTGTTTTAAGTTCCTTGCAAAGGATAAGAGTTATACAAATTTCATTTTCATGCATACTACCCTCCTAAAGTATGTATGTATATTAATATCTGGGCCTCAATCCTTTGTCTTCTTCAAGTGACCAGCATCTAGTTTCTCCTTACAATATCACCCCTGATTCAAACATTAAGCTCATGAGAAGAGAGGAAATGATCACTGATAAAGAAGCTCTTGATTGTTAATCAAATTCTCATTGTCAGCACCTCAGGAAATGCCCAGAGAACATTATGGAGAATAAGCATGAGGGTGTTTAATTGTAAATGGTTCAATTGGTTGGCTTGCAATGATCCAGCATAATTTCTAAGAATCAAAAGATAGAGAAAAACAGTAAACATGGAAGTGGGACCCACTAGAATTGATCACAGTCAGATCAAAAATTAGTTTCTCACTATACATATTTCTTGGCTCTGTAATTCATTTCAACATCAATTAGACATTTTCAACAAAGAGGACCAGCTTCACAATTAACATTTGATCTTGACATTCACTGCAGTTTCTTGGTCCATATTCTATAAACATAATGCTAGTGATAAAAGCAAAATGAAATTCATGAGGAATGACTCTTATCCATCAATCGGTTATACTTTCTCAAGAGGTGAACATGTACATCAATAACTTATGTAAGAGGTTCTTCATAAAACAAGACAAAAATCCTTGCTCTAAAAATAAGGTCCAAGATTATGGAAAATGGTTACTGGCAAATAAGTGACATGGCAATACTTTTGTCTACCAAATAAAAACTTAGATTTTTTTGTTCACTTTGTCTGTAAATGGTCTCATGTATTTTTTAACTGTCTCCAAGTACAGGATGATCCTGGCGTGCTTTAAAAAGCAATGTTTTCTGTCTGTTAAGAGCTTTCTTCATGGAATCTTGATCATTCTTTACTTCAGACATTCCTTCATAGAGATTTTTCTCAAGCTCACTGATTTGTTTACTCATCACTCTTGTTTCTTCATCTTTCTGTTTGGCAGGGAATGAATCATCCACTGCTCGTTGTTTGAGATTCATGGCTTTGCCTCTTGTGCGTGACAATTCCAGGTTCAGCTCATTCAGGTTTGCTGTGGAATCTTGCAACTAAAATTCAACAAATACATGTTAAGACTGGAACATACGAAATAACAATTTTCTGCTGTGTGACTTTCATGCTGTGTTTGATACCTTTGAAAAAATTTTAAAAAAATCAAATCAAAAAATTAATGTTTTTCAAAAAATTGATAAAACATTGTTGGGAATCATGATGCTCCTAAGCCTATGATTAAAAAGAATGTAGGATTAGATAAAGCTAATGGACCATATTATGGCCAGGAGTTACTCCCAAACCTGCAAGTGGTATAGTATACTATTGGTTGGTGCCTTAGACTGTTGATCAGCTGGGCAAAGTTTTTGTCTTAGCTGTAGCATGTCCTTGTTAAGGAAAATTTTATGAATTGCTGAGAGATTGTCTGAAATGCAGATGCCTTCCACCCAGTTGGTGTAAATATAATAAATAAATAAAGAAATAATATAAGGCAACTTCAAAATCGACATTTCTGGCCATCAGACTTTCACAGTTGTGCAAGGATAACAACACAAGATCTACATGTAGTTTACAATTCCTACCTCAATCTGCTAAACATGTCCTAGTTAGTTAAGATAATTTAGAGATAAAAAAAAATCAAACCCAAGCATTGGTGAGTTTGTTTGTCTAATAAGAATTGATATTCTATAGAACAATTACAGGAATTTTTATTCAGGAAGCTAGAGAGGTTATGTGGAAACTGCTTTCCCATAGACCATTTCCAAGTTCCAAAAAGTAATAGTTTGAAAACCAGGCCAAGTGCAAAATCTTTGTTGTGAAAATGAACTTTTTAGTCAAACCTGTATTTAGCAGTCACCCACGGGGAATGGCAGGGTGACTGTTTAGTACAGGCAGACCACAAAATACAAGCTGACCACTTAATAAAGCTTGTCCTAACAGTTCAAAGTGGAAAGATAACCAGTGATGAGCTGAGGAAATTTGCACTCAAAGCACTATCATTGATTCTGGGAGATAAAATGGAATAAATTTTACTTGAGGGTTTAATATTAATTCTATTTGAGTAGTTCCACTTTAAATGACTGTACAATACAGGTGGAAGGCAATACAAACACACCATTGGGATTCAAGCAATGGTGACCACCACCCCCTAATAAAGGCGACTGACTGAAAGGTGAAAATTAGAGTACTTAAAGGGAAACCCATTTTGACACTTTGTCAACTGACCACTTAAAAGAGGGTGATTGCTTAATACAGTGCACGAGAGTAAAAAATCTTCTTCATATCAAAAGCAACATACCTAATACTTGTATGAGAATAAAAAATCCTCATATCAAAAGCTTCACACTTGCCCTGGTTTTCAAACAGAGCATGGGGCATACCGGAAATTTAATTTTTACTATTTTTTGTGATTGGGTTTAAAGGAATTACTTTCCTTTCACTCCCAAGAGTAATCAATATGTAATTTCTCACAACTATATCGTTATATTGTAAAGCAAACAGGTGATAAGAATAAAGAAAAATATCAACAGGGTGACACCATTCAATTTAACACCAAATTTTCAAAGATAATATGACAAGAAACATTTAAAAGTCACTAAAGAAAATTAAAACTTAGATTTTGGAAGGGAAAAGATTAAAACGCACACAAACAAAACACAATAAGTAATTTGCTGCGTACCTTTGAGAGTGCGCTAGTAACAGCTTGATCCTGGGTTTTCAGTTTCGGCGGCAACTCCACATATCCGTGTTTCTCCTGCAGCTCTTTCAACATTCCCGCCAGCTCTCGTTCTCGTAATTCTTGCAAGTATGTCTTATGAATAATCCAGGCAGCATCGATATAAAGCTTAAGATCGCGCTTGCCCCAGTCGTTGTAAGCTCTGTCGCTACACAATTCTTCAGCCGTGTCATTCCAAAAACGCCAGTACTCTTTGGTCATCTCTGCATCCTGTGATTCAATCTCTCGATCGCTGAATATTCTTATTCCACGCGAACGGGCAAAGGGATATTTATCGTTGCTTGTACTCGTAGGTTCTGCAATCAACGCTTTCTTTGCAGGGCTTTTCTTCGACTTTTTCTTTGGTGGTTCGTCTGTCTCTTTATCTTCACCATCGACAGCACTTTTACCTGCGCTCGCGGTCGTATCTTCCAAGGTAACTCCAACTGCTCGCTCGGATTGCTCTTCTAACTCCTCAAGAGGACGCTGAACTTCTTCTTCGACGCTAGCGCTCATCTTTTCGGTAATCTGAGGACGTCCTCGCCGCCGATTTCTGCAGAAAAAGGTGAAGAGAACTCTTGCAAACAAAGATCCAATCTCTGTAACCACCCCTCCTCCCCCTCCCTAACGACTTATTGGATACCAGTCCTCAGGTCTACTAATTACGGTCCGCTAGGCGTGCATAAAGTTCTCTCAGACCTCTGCCCGCATGCCTTTTAGAGGATTTTAGTTTAAAAGTTTAAAATATTAAATAATATTGTATCCAGCTTCTAGGCTTTTTTTCATTTCTGAAGGAAGGCAAGTGCAGCTGTAAAAGAGTATTCATGTTTTATTGTATAGTTTATCTCCATCATTTACAAGGAGGGCTTGTCTATTGAACAGTTATGTGAATAATGAAGGCTGGAAACGTACAGTTTCCTGAATGATCCACTCCCTCCACTCACGGCATTTAAACCAGAGTTGGGAAAGAGCAGAATGATCTGACCAATGATGACACCAACTAAACTTTGCACGAGGATAGCTGGGACAAAGCAAGACACACGCCAAGGACTGTAAATGAAAGATGACATCTTCAGTTCCATCACAGGGTAGATTCAGCTACCTCCTATGAAAAGTGTGTCTAAAGCAGTCTTTGCAGAACATGAGGAAAACAAACTTTCTGCCAGCACTAGAATTTTACCTTGTCAAACTCATGCAATGATGAGTGAGCTTTTGCCACCGACACACAGCAATATTAAACTTACAACTTCCCTGGATCTGATTGTTAATTTTCCCCTCTAGCTGCAACACATTTCCTTGTAACAAATTTAGGGAAAGATCAACATAACAATTCCTGCCTGATAAGTTCGAGTAATCTCATTACTTGTTTGCTGGATAATGTATGGATATGAGCCAGAGTCCACACAGCACTAACATATTTTTGTGCTGCCTCATATCAACTTCCAAAACTTCATACAGACAGAGAGAGAGAGAGAGAGTGAGAGTGATCTTTTGACCAACCAGAACATGTTAAAATTGAATGCTTAAGAAACTGTAGCAAAACTGCAGTTGCAATGGTCTGTAAAATTGTTTTATTTCTTTATTCTGAGAAAAGTATTATTCACATATCATTTCATCTTCTATTGAAAAATAGAAGCAATTCACTCTTGAACATGCATTAATAATTCCTGAATGTTCTAACTTAAGTTACTCTTTAAAAAAAATTTAAAAGCACCAATGTATCAATAAAAAAAAAAAAAATTTGACTTAACTCTTTAACCCCTACTTGTGACTGGCGTCTAATTTCTCCTCACAGTATCATCCTTGAATCAAATGATCAGTGTGGAGAATATGCATGCTGATGTTAGAGAGTAAAGGGTTAAGCTTGAAGCCATTTTCAAAATAACAGAAACAATAATACTTAAGTTATAGCCAGAATAACATATTTAATAAAGCACATCAAATGACATTTTCTGTTCGGTGCTTTGTCAACCCTTAATCTCCCACAATTTCGCTATCAATTTTCTGTACTGTCTCCTTAAGATTTCTTGTAATTGAAGTCTGAGGATATCCTTTACATCAAACAATATCCCTTGGTTGATATCTTTCTATTTTCTCATCACCTTCTGCTAAAAGCTTACCGAAATTGTGGGGAGGAATTTCTCTGTAGTCCCTTCTGGGAATAAAAGGGTTAAGACAAAATTCTCCAAAAAGTAATTAAAAATTAATGGACCACAGATTCATCATAAGATTAAAAAAAAAAAGAAAACAAGCATATACCAAGCAGTTTTGTACCCTATTAATCCTTTAACTCCCAAAATCTGTATGTTAATTCTTCCATCTAGTTGCTGCACATTTCCTTGTAAATCAAATTAAAACTTCTAACTGATAAGTTTAGCTAGTCCCATCACCCGTTTACTGGTTAATGTACATATATCATAGGGAGAAGTTACATGTTAATCACTAATGGGAGTTAATGGTTCATATCTCCAAATGATTGCTATTTGATTGACCAACAGGCATGTAACTCTTCTGCATGAAAGATCTACCAGCAAATTCTTCTAATTTCTGAAAATTTGGTGTTACACCAGGATAATGTTCCCCTTTTAATAATTGAAATAAATTGCTAAACATTGACTTAAAATGGTTGTTGCTGGTAGTGCAAGGGTTGAGCCACACCCACTTTGACATCAATCCCCTGAATTCAAAGCACTTAAGCATTACAAACTAAACTTAAACCAAGTTGTTTGAAATGGCTTTGCTTCTATAAATAGTTTATGTTAAAAATTGGATATGTTTTATAATAGAGTCAGTTTTGAGCACTGTTCAGTCAAAACAACTAGTTCACAAAGATATTTTAAATAATTATTATAAAAATAATTATTGTTCTCTGTTTACAATCAATGATCAATACTCTTGACCAGGTCATTATATTCTTCTTCTGACAGAAGGTCATCTGCCAACTCTTCAACTTTCATTTTGACCAGCCAGCCTAAAAGCAACACAAAGGTTAGAAGTAGCACATGTATTGTAAAGGTTGACCCCTTGTTCTATTCTTCTGTGGAAGCAATCATGAAGCTCTACATAGCTCTGGCAACAAAAGTATGGTTCTCAAATAAATTAAACTCTCACCAGCCTTAACTAGTGTTACAAAATTTGAAAACCCATTCTAAATAATGCTAAAGATGGTTTTAAGCTGTTTTCTTAAACATGGTTTAAAGGTGTTTTTCCCAAAGAAGTTGCTTAAACTGATGATTTTCCACTTCAAATATAGCACAAGAAAATACAAGTTAGTGACTACTTGATCACCCATGTAAACTTCAGTTTTTGAAGTTTTGTGGTCCATTTGCATTCAGTTAGACCTGGTTTCACTACACATGCTTAGCTGTTGTGTGAATAAGGCACAAGTTTGATTAAAACTTACATGTAATTAAACAGAAAATGATACAAATAAACCAAGCAAATGTAATTTTATGCTTCATTATATTGTTAGTCACTGCATGTACCTTTATCATAGGGAGATTCATTCACCAAACCAGGGTTACTCTCCAGTTCACCGTTTATCTCACTAACTTCACCTTTCGCTGGCGAGTAAATATCTGCAGCAGCTTTGACACTTTCTAATGCACCAATTTCATCTATAAGCAAATTTAAACACAAATAGTATCAGTTATTGACCAGTTTTACAGAAAAACTAAAGAAAAACTGTAAGTACTGGTATATGAAATATTTTAAGAAATGTTATTATTATATGAACAATCAAAATGGAAATCAGGATGTACACAAACAACTCAAAACTATGATTAATTACTTTTATGTTCAGGCCTGATTGGCTTGTTTCTCTACACAAAACATTGCAGAAATTAAATTCTGATGTCTATGCTTTTCTGAGTTTCATCTTGAGATATTCTATTTATGTGAAAAATCCATTTTATATTATAAACTTGTAATTTTTGTTTCCAGAAAAAAAGTTGTCACCACATGAAACCTCTTTAACTAAATGTTATGTCTATTGTTAGTTGCATAAAATGGAAGGGCTCCTCACCTCCTATATTAAATGTATCTTCCACCTCAGGAAGCTGAGCATAAACAACTTCTCCTAATTCTTTCTAGAAGAAAAAAAGTAGAGAGTCAATAAACATTGCAGCACAAACATACATGTAAGAAGAAATGTCATTTTGTTTGTAATTGATTGACCAGTTCCACATGTGTTTCAAAGTAGTGAAAGATAAAATGAGCATCGCAAGTATATCATTTACACCTTAAATGTATCATAATAACTTAAAGACAAAAGAATGGTTGCAACTTATTTACCTGGGCATAGTCTGTTACTCCTATTGATCCAATTCCATTGTCTACACTGATCCATTCATGTTTCTTTGTGTATTTTCGTTCTTAAAATTCAAGAAGAAAAGCTCAAAATAAAGAATAGAACAGCTCAAAACAACAACATCATAAAATCATAACAAGTTATTCTGAGGGAGCACTTTACATTTTTCTGCTTCAGACCATCCACACAGGAAAATGTGTAGCTAAGCAGTTAGATAAGAGATAAAATTATCAAACTTCAGAGTAAAAGGGTTAAAAAGAGGCTGGTAAGATCTCCTGTCAATGTGTTTTTTAATGTCTGGTGTGAATCTTTAAATTAACATCCAAGGGAGTTTTAGTCAAACTTCAGGCAAGATTGAGGAAAGGAGAGGAGGATGGAGTAGCTGTCAATTTTTTTGCAAATTGTGGCTAGATAAATGTTTGTTCATCATTTGCAAAACAAGTTCTGCAAGACATCCAAATCGTAAACTGTGTATAATATCAATATGACAAGCTATGCCTGAAAATTAGCTATGCCTGAAAATTAGCAACACCAAAGGTTCTTGCATCTACTTTCTAAACTTAGGGTGTTCCCAAGATGCAATAGTGCCAAAAAGAATAATTAAAAACACTCAACATCATACATTCTTTGCTGACTCAGTAAATGACCACCAAAACCAAGAAAACAGGAAAGTGACTCCTATTCAAGAAGGGGGTGTTTATTATCAATTTTAGGTGAAGGGAGAAGGGGGGCTTGGTTGAGGCAAGGAGCTTATTTGAGGATTTATCACACTAATATGAACACAGACTAAATAGGCCTCAATTTGGTCTTATTATCATCATTATTCAATACTAGTATCTTGTAAATAATTGAATAAGCACATGTTGAGGTTGGATTTCTTTTTCAGTTGGTTGAATTGTATTATCATACTTTAGATCATGCACACAGACAAAACAAAGTAAATGCGAGGTACTTTGAAAAATATCAAAATAACGATTTTCCTTCATCGCCTATTTTGAATTTGGTACCCCTTTCATCTATGGAACCAGACTTTCAACCCTACATGCAGCTCTACCTAATAAAATGCAAGATGTCAGCTGTAACGGTGCAAACAAAAAAAAGATAAATAGAATAACGTTCGAAAACAGACATAGTATACAAAGAACAGAGGGTAAACCTTGTAACAGATCTGAGAAAACAGGGTAAGCGGCATGCATAATGTACAAACAGGGGCTCGAGTTCACCGGAAAACTCCTTCACGTGTATTGTAGCCCGCGTGGTCGGTGTGCTTTTCACATCACTATGCCTTGCAGCTTTCTGATTGCCTATGTAAATCCTAACAGTTTAATTGCGCTTCCTGAAAGCAAAATTTAAAAATATGAGGGCGCCAGCCACCCTTTCGATGAAAATCTAAAGTTCCATTACCTTTGTTACATTAACTTTACGCTAATGTTTTGCGCAATACTGCGCACTACGTTTATATGGTAGCTACAAAGATACGTCTAGATCTCAGACCTTACCCGCTAATAAACACCTTCCGACGTGTAGAAGCCGTTTACTTTCCACCCTAGAGCTGCAGATCACTACCCTCTTGGTGGATACACTAAAAAATTGAGGAACAATCCCACAGGCTCTACTCACGAAGGTAGCCATATTCGACCACTGGAACTAATTGAATTTCCTGCGAAGCACTGGGTTCTAATTCTCCCACTGAGCAACATCCATGCGCATGACCGCACGTGGGTTTGACGTTGATGGCGGCTTTCATTGCTAGCATCTAGCAGATTATTCACTGTCTATCTGTGATAATTTGTACAACCCAAGGGCGCTAGAAGCTGTGGTTTGGACGGGTTGAAGCCCCAGCACCTTCAAAGTAAGTGAATCGTGCAATCAGGCAAAAATAAGCGATAACTTGTGTTGAGTCTTTTTCACTGTTGTATCAATGTTGATAGAGGTCTGTGGTCAGTTCGTTCTATAGTTACATCGTTCGATGTTAGATCGTTCCACGGTATCGCTAGATCGCACTCAATTGATATTTCTAACAAAAGGATAGACAGATATGTAGATGGAAAGATCGCTCCACCTTTAACACAAGCGACGTTAAAATTAGCGAGAGTAACGAAATGTTTACACTTTTGATATATGTATATACTGTTGAATTAACCATAGTGTTATATGCTTGGAAAATTACTGCTCAGACAAATAAAAAACTGTGCACATGATCGATAGTATCGAAATTGATTTCAACTACTCATAATTAAATTCTGCATAGTTTTCGAAAGCTTTTTATGGAGGGGAAAATTTTATATATTGTTTATCATTGGCCGTATGATCTGAGTATGGAACCAAGCTGATTGATTGTAACTGCTTATTTTTCATCACTGAGTGTGTCAGGGTTCAAGGCACTCTGTTATTTGCAGTGAAGCTGCATGATCTTTAAAATCAGGCCACTGATTTACAGTCCTTGGCCAGCCATTTTAAAACTGAAATCTCCCTTAAATTCCCAAAATCTGATTGTTAATTCTCCCCACTAGCTTCTACTCATTTCCTTGTTAATTAGTCACAAGTACTTACTGTTAGATGAAGATGATAAGTTTGAGTATTCTCATAACCTGTTTGCTGGTTAATATATGGTTATTATAAGGAGAAGTTGCTTGCTAATCACCTCTGGGAGTTACATGCAGTCAGTTAATCCTAATCCAGGGTTAGCTTATATTGAAAACTTGTTGTTGTGGCTGTGCTTGAGATTATCTTCCTTATCTATAAATGTAATGCAACCGTTTGACCACGCATGTTAAAAGTAGCACCTTGTACATTCGGTTCTATGGTTGTATGGTTGTACGGTTATAAGTCCAAATTTTTTTGCTTGATGGGTTACTACAACCATTTTGTATAATTATGGGGCTATGCTCTGTGAACTCCGTTATAAAACAGGTACAGTAGTTATATTTTTTGACCATGATGAAAGATAAATCCACATCTGTTTTGCTTGATGGTCACAATTTATTTTACACCCTAACATCAGTAT